TATCAGCAGATCTGCAGTGCACGCACCGTCCAATCGGATCAGAAGGGTTTCTTCAACGAATTCTTTCTGGAGGTGAAAGGGGGCTGCAGTGAAAAGTGGCTGAAACATTACTTTAGCCAATTGAAGTCAAACGAGGCGCGCATCCTATCGATCTTCAGCGATCAGGAAATTTGCGATACAGTGCTTGGAGTGCTGGAAAATGTTTCACCTGTTTATAAACTCAAAGATGGTCTCTTCTCAGTTCAAAGACGTGCACAGGCAGACAAGTTCAACTTGTTGGGGGACTTCGAGCAGGCCTTAATGCACGCCAATTTGGCCGTTATGCGTGCTCCAGCAAAAGGTTAGCACAGGAAGTGCACATACATACATACATATCTAATTGTTGGTATTTGGTATTTTTTCTTTTATCATAGATGTTGAGCGAGATATAGATAATGGCCTCAGTTTAGCAATGGCCTATCGAAGCCGTGCTGGAATTCTAATTAACTTGGGTTATGGCGAGGCGGCACTAAGAGACCTTAAACTAGCCGCTTCTTATGGTTTGGAATTGAAGGGCAATGTGGATTACTATATTAAAATGGCGAAGGCGTATGCTTGTAAGTGTGGTTTACTTCAATCATGTCTATGAATATGTAGTATATTTTAAAAATTAACGTAAATTTTTTTTTTTTTGGTACGAAATTTGATAGTAATGGGCGAATCAGCGCGATCTGATATATCACTCAAGGTTGCTGAGAAACTTTCGGGTAATAATATTTCCTTGCGAGACTCCTTTGACGCCGAACTAGCGCTTATACGACGGAGCGAAACTAGCGATAAGCCGGTGGTAGTGCCTACACTTACGAACGGAGAAAACCCCGCATTGCGCGGCGCATCGAGTTTGGTGAAAGTGGTGGAGACTAAAGAGAGAGGTCGCTTTGTTGTCGCTGGATACAATATAAAAACCGGTGACGTTGTGTTGTGTGAAAACCCAGTTGCCGCTTGTTTATCGCCAACGTTCGCCGGCAGTCATTGCCACCATTGTTTTCAGAGGTATGTATGATTGTATGCATACGTGCGGTGCATATGTATGTACATGGGCACAAGCCCCCCTAAACTCCAAAGTTGCATTTCATAATCAATTTCCAATTCAAAAAAATGTAAAATAATTATCTTTTAATATTTTTACTTCGTTTGTACTTGTAATTTAGGTTTATGTATGCTCAGCGTTCTCAGAGGTTTTGTATAAAAAAGCAAAAATGAAATCATTCCTAAAACAATTTATCGATTTGCAGAAGAACCTCGAAGGCTATTGTTTAAATAAACAAGTATTTTTTTAGCAATGAACAAAACCGACTTCAATTCTTATGCAAAACTTTAAGATTACCGTTAATTTCTTCATGATCGAATAATCTGATCTAAACCAAATTAGGATGGAATCATCGCCGATAAAAAAAAATATCAAAATCGGTTAATGTGGCCCAAAGTTATGCGGTAACATACTTACAAAACATAAAAAAAAATATTCCGATGAATTGATAACCTCCTCCTTTTTTCGAAGTCGGTTAAAAAAATAAAAGTAAATTAGGTAAATTATTATAAATTTTTTAATAGCTATATTTTAACATTTCTAATAAAATTTACATTACAAATAATCTCAGGAAAATTCAGCGAATTTTTTAGCGAAATTTTAAACTTTTTATTCAGAATTTTTATACAAATTTTAGCCATTTAGCAAACTTAGCCAAACTTGGTCGAGTGTCGCGTTTCTATTATATTTTCTACCAGGTAATGTGTATTTTAGAGTATTACGAAACTTGTATGCTCCATTAAAGATAAGTTTATTGTAAATACCACATAAAATTATTACATACACATGTTCTTGTTCTTTACCCTTATTTCAATCTTTATGTTTGGGCGTGTGTGAATCGGTAGCAAAGTTCTATGGGGAAAGCTGTTGAATAATATTTTTACTATGGTGAGACAGTTTTGCCAATCTGCTGTGTGAAATGAAATCTTTTTTGACAGCAGTAAATTTTTGATAACCGCAGATTTATGCGCAATAAACTATTACAAATGGAGTGAAATTAATATTTTAAGAGAACATCGAACATCATTGATTGCAGTTCATGAACTTAAGCTTTTATTTTACGAAAAATTACACACAGCAGCAATCTTTGCAATTGTCAAAATTTTCTATGCATCTGTCAAAAATTTCACTAGCCTCATGGGCTACTGAAATTTTATTCACCTCAAACTTGTCAAAAATTTACTTGCCGCGAACTTTGTTACCGATTCACACACGCTCTTTGTATCTAAATTTAATTTTCCTTATCAGAATTTTTCTTCATCTTTGCATGCATCATCACTTTCAGATTAACCACTCCGGTGCCATGCCTCAACTGCTCCGGCATTGCTTTTTGTTCTCCACAGTGTATGGGAGAGGCATGTGACAGTTACCATCGTTTCGAGTGTCAGTTTATGGACCTTTTCATAGGTAATTGTAGCTAATTGACATTGTATGTACCCTTTTTTTTATATGTATGTCGTCGTTTAAAGTACAAAACCGCGTATCGTGATTCTGCAAAACCGCGTAACTGGCATTAGCTGGAAAAAATTGGTTTTGCTCCCACAAGCTCATGGCTAAATCCTTATCCATTCGTCCTGAAATATACTGGCCAGGTATGCGATTGCTTTATAAAAAAGAGAACCATTTTGAAATATGAGTAGTTTTACTCTCTAGAAGATAATTTACATAATTCACATACACGGTTTTGCATTATCTTGATACGTGGTTTTGCATTTTGTTGATACGCGGTTTTGTACTTTAATCGACGCAGTTTCGTTTATATTTGGGATATGAGTACATCCAGTTCTCGATCAAAATCTAGCAGCATTAACAAATGGAATTTTAACTATTAGACTGAGTTCAGACACGGAAGCTTTTGTTGCTCATGAAGTTTTCTGAGATAGGGCGGTTTCGAACTGAGATAGGTCGATATTCCACTCAAGTGACGATATCGTACACCTAGATCTAAAATGCGAGCAACTAAAAAAAAATTGTAGGCCATTTTTATGCATAAATCCATTTATTTGACTTACATCCAATTAATGAAAATATTTTTTTCTTCATGATTATATACACTAACTAAAAAACTACTGTTCAACCTGTTTTTGTATTAATTGTTTTGAATCTGTACGATCGACAAGCAGTTAAATTTCCCTCTCTGAATTTTGAGTTAGCTCACTTTAGATCTAGGTGTCCGATACGTAAATTCAAAACTTTGAACCAGTTTTGCTTGAGTTTTGAGGATTTTTGAGTTATGGCCCTATTGAAGTAAATGAGCGATATGTAGGCATAACCCATGGTGAAATTATTACAGGTGCAGTAATTCGATCGAGAAGAAAGATTTGACACTATCTTATTTGAAAATTTGCCTTTAAAAATATCTATAAGATGGCCGAATGTCAATGAAATTAAGAAAATAAAGCGAGAAAGCTCTGTTATTACTTCACCTTTTTGGAATTTCACCATGGGTATAACCAAAATGTACATATTTAAAAAAGTGTGATTGAATTTATTATTGCTCTCATAGAATCCCCCTATAATGTCAAACTGAAAAAAAATGTGTTTATATTTTTTGACATTATAGTACCTTAAGAGAGAGCCGCACTGATTTGCCAATCACACCTCGGATATAACGACTGATGATTTTTTCAGGTTCTGGCATGTCGATACTCTGTTACTTGGCATTACGCGTTTTCACACAAGCGCCCAGCCTGGAAAATGCCCTTCATGATGCCACATCAATGTATGAGAATCTCTGTTCCCATATTGAAAGCCGCGAAGCTGAAGACTACTTGCAACGATCTCTGATGGCAGGATTTTTACTTCGTTGTCTACAAAAAGCTCAATACTTTGGTCGGCGTAAGAGCGAAGGCGTGAATCCAACTGCGGTTGAATTGAAGGTCGGCACAGCTCTGCTGGGCCTTTTACAAGTTTTGCAATATAATGCTCATGAAGTTTTCGAGAAAAAAGTTACCGACGAACATCGCTTCGAGGGATCCAAAATTGTGTATGTGGGTGCGGCAATTTACGCCAGCGGGGCTTATTTCAATCACGAGTGTTGGCCTAGTGTGGCTCGCTATTTTGTTGGGAAGAAATTGGTTTTGACAACCGTTAAGCCTCATCAGCCCAATGAAATCATAGCTGAGAATTATGGTCCCATTTTCACGAAAACAAATTTGAAAGAGCGCCAACGATCACTGCGGGCACGATACTTATTCGAATGCAAATGTAAGGCCTGCCAAGAAAATTGGCCAACAATACAAAAGATTGAAAAGCAAGTTAGATTTCGGTGCCCGTCCGCAAATTGCGTTAATGTTTTGAAATTTCCAAAAGATATAGCCAAAGAGGTGCGGTGCTCACGCTGTCGGAAAAATGTTTCTCTAAAAGCGAGTGTGGCGAAAATGATTCAAATAGAAGAGCTATACCGCAGAGCTGCTGAATCTATGCACAATCAAAAGGTGCAGGAGGCCATTGATCAGTTTACAGAAGGGATTGAAGCGTTTTTTGAAATCGCGGTTTTGCCACACAAAGACACAATCATTGCACAGCATTCGCTGATTAGATGCTTTGCTGATCGCGGCACCACATTCAAATAAAACACAACAGCATTAACTTGAAATGATTCAAACAATTTTAGATTTGATAAAATTATATAAGTATAAAAATGCACCTTCATATTAAGCGAAATAAATGCATATTTGTTCCGAAAGGACAACTCAAAATTCTATCACCACAATTCATCTATACTAGTCTATAAAATTTAAGATTCAGTTAGGCTTAATTAACGTAACGTAACCTTAATATATTTGACAAAACACTATATTTTAGTTCAGGAATTTTAATGTGGCTTATAGGCGGCCAAGTGACCATCAGCTGAAAAGGAAAATACAAAAACAAATTATTTTCGCTTCGGGCTAAGTTGATATGTTGAGTAATCATTGACGACTTCTTACGTAAGTTAAGTTAAGTCTACACCAACGAGGCTATTATTGTATGGTCAATGTTTGTCACGAGTGAGCTCGAAAAATACTGAACCGATTTTAATAGTTTTTTTTTTAACGATGCATGGATGGGAAAGAATTTGGTTGTATACTTTTTTTTTTAATTCTTGGAAGATAAAGTTAAAAAAAAAATACAAAGATGTGCAAGCATAACGCCCTTTGGTCGTCAAACACACCACATGGCGATGCAAAAATTCTGTACATCCCCTGCAGTAAGAATTGGGGACAGTGACGCACTGCGCTAGCAAAATATAAAAAATATAGATTAAAAATACTTTTTCTTAGACCTTTCGTCAATCATAGTTATTATCTCTTCAAGGGCATCCGTTGGACAGGTGCCCGTAGCTACTGCAATGGCCACGCGGATCTAAGTACTTCCAAACTAGTTCGGCAATGCAAGTCTCAACGTATGTTATTATTTTATGTTGGTAAACATAACGAGCTTGCTTTACTTTGGGTACCAGGTCACTCGGGTGTGACAATGAAACATCTAACCATTTGGCCAGAACTGGCTCAAACCAGGTATTCGTATCACTTTAAAACTCGGAGCGGTAAAAATAAAAAATGATGACATCAGCACAAATAAACTATTTTACGAATACGCCACAAGCAAATTCACAAGTGAGCCGAACATGTGAAGAGATTGTGTGTAAAAGCTAGCGCTCGGAGTTCTCTTAAAAAATATAACTCCTCAGAGCGAGAGAGTACTTTGATCGCTTTACGAGCTATGATTTTCAAAACTTGCCACACCGGAAAATGTTTGGGAAGCTCTGCTACATATACTTCGCGTATGTATCGATAGCGTCCGTCAGTAAGAAATCGATTACCGTTGAAGCGTTCGTTGTGCTTTTGGGTTTAATTTTAAAAATTATGACTTGGCAGCACAGTACAAACAGATGTTTTTGTTTATTTGCGCATTTGAAGTGCACTCTTGGTAAATGGTTATTTCGCGTGGAAATAAATAGTGTTGATAAAATATATCAGAAATATGATAAAAAGACCACAAAGAGGAGAAACTGAGGACGATATTTTGCGAATGCAGAATGAATTCTTATCACAACGTGCGAAGAATCCCAAATTGCAGCCGGCGGCAGAGTGTGTCAAAGTCGCGAAAGGTATGTAGTATGTACATGTGCATGTAAATCGGAGTTAGATGCATTCTGTACACAATGCGGAAAATTCTATCATTCTGTATTTATATCCAAGTTTAATACAAATATTTCTGAAATTACATAGATGCCAAGAAATCGTTGTTTTTAAGATCTCGTGAAAAAGCAGAAGGAAGTTCGGCGCAAGCGGTTAAAAACACTACGCCTGTTTCGTTGGTGGAGCAACAAATCATGGGAGAAATACACGAGAAAATTGTTGGAAATCTGGACGCTAAACCCTTGGAAAATTTTACTGAAATTGTACTCGGTGAAATAGTAGAAAGGAAATTTGATACCCCAATGCAGAATCAAGCTTTGAATAATGCGAAAACATCCGCTTTTCCCGTAGTAGACAGGGCTCCTTTAGAAGTAAGTCATACCCAAAGCTTACAATCACGAACACATATTTTAATACTAAAACGACTCTCAAATTATAGAAATCTTTACAAAGTGGCAAAAGCATTTTTGCATCGAGTGGGCTTTCTACAATACAGCAGTTCAATAAAACTAACCAGCCGATTGCTTCTGAAGATTTGTCTAAAATTTATGGAGACAAAAGTATTATAGTCAGTAATTCGGATATAGCTGTCGAAGTGCATAAAGAAAATTTAGATATTCTCAGCAAGATGAATGAGAATGACATACTAGCCGAGAGAGAAAGACTACTAAACTCTATAGGTATTTAAATTACCTATGTTAACTCCAAGCTTATGAAAACCCTTAAATGTACACATATTTTGTCCCTTAGATCCCTCACTTTTGGCCTTATTAAAGAAAAGACGCCAAGAAAACTCTGATGAAAAATCGAATTTTAAAAGAGAAGGTACCAATGCTGTCAGTAATGACTTTGTGAAAAACGAGGACCAAGAAAGCATGGATGTAAGTTCATTATTACCAACGACGAACGCTGCAATCGAAATACTAAAGCAAAGTGAGACAGAAAAATGGGTGCACTTTGACGTAGTTGAGACGGATAAACTAAAATGGATGCAGGATATAGAAGAATGGCTGCCGAATGTGCAGCCAGGAGACCAATTTGAAGCACGTTTCGATTGGAAGGGAGTATTATTGCCATACTCGGTGGATAAAATGAATGCTGCAAGTCCATCAGGAAATACGACTACTGACGCTAAAGCTTTTCAAAATGATGATAGAGAATTATATCTGCACGGGGAAGAACCTCATCGACCAGGATATACGCTGCAAGAATTGTTTCGCTTAGCTCGGTATGTTAATTCTAAAACTAGCTTTATTATTAAAACCTTATATAATAAAAAAAAAACTAGATCAAATGTAATACAACAACGCATATCAGCATTCAGATCGATTGGAGGCATCCTTAGTATTTATAATCAGGGATTTTATGACAACGTCTTAGAGTTGCCCATATCAAAAATATTTTTCTTATTGCGTTTCGGATTTGATGACAATACGCCGGCCATGCTCGAGGTCGTTTCTAAGGCACTGTCGTGTCTTTTCTATAACGAGGCTGATGAGGTACTTTAAAATTCGAGTATGAATTTTCTCTGCAATCACCTATGTAAATGCATTCATATACATACATATGTTTTGTTTGTGTTTGGATCAATAGACATTGCTAGATTTCATCTTCGACAACCCAACCTCGCATTGGCAGCCAATACTGGATTCTGTGGATACAGGAACGGCTATTAACGAAATTGCAGCTCTAGAAAGTTTGCAAAAACAAATGCAGCAATTACAGATGAACGATAATGGCAAACGATCATTATTTCGAAGCGACTTCGAAGAAAACGAAAGCGAAGATAGAACTTCTATGAGCGATTTTCAGTTGGCAGAAACAAATTTAATCGAATGTCTAATGCGAACAAACATTTTGCAACGAATCTAGTGAGTATGAGTTTACCGCAGCAGCCTTATATGTGCATACATATGTACATCCCATTTAATCTAACTAAATCCATTCAGCTTTATTTTGCATGTCGTTAAGCCCGAAAACAGCACAGTTTCCTCATGTCTAAAAATTCTCATACGATTAGCGCGAACGAATACAGAGATCGCCGGAAAAATTGTTTCTAACCAGGATTTAATGCATTGTCTATTTCAAAATTTCTTACCTGACTTTCGACGATTCGGTGAATACTTGTTTCTATTAAAAAACGAATGGTGATATCTAAATAATACTTTTATCTTATAGAAGCTAATATGGATGCGCCGCAATTTTATGATTGTCCTCAATTCTTATGCCTTAAACTTTTCAGAGTTTTGATTGCACAAAATCTTGGAATTGCTGTTAGACTTATGAATATGAAGCTTTCGGAAGTATTGAAAAGCTACCTGTCTTATCGCGGAGATATGAAGGTTTATTTCCTCGAATCATAAATTGTGGGCTGAATGGAAGATCGACCTATCTCGGCAGGCAGTTCCAAAAAGCCCTATCTCAGCAAACTAAGAATGCCCTGTTTCAGAATTTGGTTGAAGAATTTTAAATAGGGCGTTCTTGAAAAGTCTTTTGAGATTCGAATTTTGAAATACGGCGTTCTTGAAAATTTTTCTGAGAGGCGTTTTTGAACTGCCTGAAGAGATAGGTTGATCTTCCACTCAGCCGTCTTTGCGCATATGTATTGTGTTTATTGAAATAATGTTCTTTTATTCTATTTAAGGATATAATGGTAAAAGTGCAAATAGAATGTCTACGAATTGTGCGCTGTCTACTTCTGTTGCGCCTAGACGATTCTCTTTACAGGTAAGTTTTTTAATGTTTGGATTTATATTTAATAATCCTGCTTATATCAGCCGTTCTCGAATTGCGATTCGTTCGCTTGAGATCATCTCTGCTAGCATTTTTTTAATACTTTCTGATCACTTAAATGATATGTCCGTATTGGCTTTCCGTCGCCCATACCGTCTCACCAAAATTTGGAATTGATAATCCAACAACTGGTTTTCCTACAAGGCTAGAAAAGAGGAAAGAAGCGTTCATGGGTAGCATAGTTGCAAAATTAAGTGGAAATGAAAATCGCTTATTAAATTCGCGGCGAATTCTCTTAGGGGCCAGTTTTTCAGTGTGCGGCTGTGGTTTAAACTTAGTTTAAACGCTCGAGCTGGCGAGATTAGCCAACCAAATGTCTCAAGTGGAAATTGGTCCTAAAAAACTGGCCCTTAAATGTTGTTCGTCAATGGGGCAAAATCTGCTCCGCATCATTATGCTCAGGGCTGAAATCGAGTCAAACCGCGGACCAGAAACCTATACCTGCTGCGTATGCCAGATAATGCAATAGATGGAGTCACCATAAAACCTGCGCAGACCTCAGAACTAACAGTCAGTAGACCCCCAACACACTCAACGATATCAACAAAGCACGCCAGGCAGGTTTTCGTAGCCGTAGCCAAAAATGTAGCTCCCTTTTATTCAATACCAAATATTTGGATGAAATTTATTTATTAAATTTTCATACTACTTGCTATTTTAATCGGAAACGGTTACAACTAACAGTTTTAATATCACTGGATTCGTTTTAATATAACAGTCCACGGTTAGAAATGCAGTTTCACAGCCATCGGCACCACCTTATTTAAGACATGAAATAAATATTTTTTTTTTTTTTGTAATAGGATGAGAATAATGTACTTACTTTTGGTTCCACATGTTGTATGTAGCTGTTCTATCATCGGAAGGAACTCAGGGGGCATTATTTCCAGAAGGTTGTCCAAATGAATAATATTTTCATTATCGATCTGCAAATGTATTGCTTTTATTTTAGTAAATTTGCACTTTCCATAAATTCTTCGTAAAGGTATGAATCGGGGTTAACGAGACCAATAGCTAAACCCACTCAGCTAACACTCCTTTCCCGACGATTGATAGACTAGCCGTTTTAGTCAACAGCAATAACTTACCAAGCCGATTTTATCCAGCATGCAGTGCATGAAGCACTTCAATCGATTGTCACCAGGCAATTGCTCCGTTCTTTTAGCTTCTGTAAACATTTCTGCAATGAAAGCAAAGCCAATAAGTCTGTATATAATTTGGCACTCGAAGTAGTTTTCTACAAACCTTCTGTGGCACCTGTCTCCTTCATGCATGTATTTGTCAATTTCTTTGCGCCCGACTTCATATGTTTAGGTACCTCCAGCTAATTATAAAATAAAAAAAATAAAATACAAATTACTGATGAATTTTGGAACTTTTGTCCTCCTGATTGAGTTTTTTTTTTTACCGACTTCAAAAAAATATGGAGGTTATCAATTCGTGGGAATTTTTTTTTTTAATATCCATATGTTACCGGATAACTTGGGACCACGTGAATCATTTTCGAATTTTTTATCGAAAAGTTGGTATCACTAATTTGGTTTCAATCCGGAAACTAACGGTATTAGCATGGAAGCCAGGTGTTTTTTGTTTTCTTGCTTAAAAATTTATTTTGAATTATTAGGGTATCGAAAAAAGATCACTCACAGGTTTGACTATTGCCAAAAAACAGCACTGGTAAACTATTAATAAAAATACAAACTGTTTGGTGTTCATTTCGTCGCAACTAGTAGATAATAAATAAATGTGTTTATAGTGCAAAGGTTTTCTTATATATATATGAAAAAATCATACAACTGTTATCTAACGAGATTTTCTTTTTTACACGAGTAGCAATTTGGACACCGCCTTTCATTATTTGCTTCAATGGCACTGCAATTACTTAAAGTTCGAAGTAGGCAGCCCTTATTTGATTCGGCAACACGCGTCTGCTTTATTAATGGCAATTAGCAGCGAACCTTGCAGTGCGAAATCAAACCATATTTTAAGCGAAACACTTAATAAATGCTGTTGCGCCTGGTTTTATCGTGCTACACGAAGTGATGTTACAGAGGTAAATGATTACAATGTTTACTATTTCTTCAATGTTTGTAAATTTTTTTTTTTTATGGCATATAACTGTATATATTTTACAGTTTTCGCAATCCACACTTCTAAGTGCTTGTTTGAATGTAGTAATATGGGAACTGAGGCGAGACGAAGCAAGCCACTTTCAGGAATTCTTTGCAAAATATTTGCGTGATTTTCTACTTTCCGATTCATTTAGAAAATGTGTGTCGCAGATCATGTACGTACCTATGTATATATGTATAAATATGTGAAATTGGGTTTCCTAATCAAAATTTCGAATTTCTAATATATAATAAATTCCAACAGAACCTCCTCAGTGATTCTACGCCAATCAGCCGACCGTCGATTTGTACATGCACCATTACCTAATGTTGGCGCGGTGTTGCTACACAAAAATGGACCACAACTGATAATTCCGCAAACGTTCACTATATATTTATTGTCTACATTATGGAGTCTCTTAGAGCTTCAAATGAGTCAAATCAGTTGTCACGAACAACACAAACTGCTGGTAAATGCTTTGCTGACGCCGCAAGTAGTCGAGACTCTTGTACAATACATTAACTTATTATCTACCAGTTTGAATCATTACCTAAGTGGTAATTTCTTCTCCAAAATTGAGTTGAAGTTCGTTTATAAGCTGTTGGGTAGCAGCGAATTGCTGTCGCATTTCAGCTCCGCCCAAATACTGCAGTTAGTATATAGTTATATATGCTGTCTCGGCGCAGAGCACATATCAGAAATTGAGCAGCTTTTCGATACAATAATATTCAATACGAAATACATAAATGTACCAGAATCAGCTTTAAGCAAATGGAAAGAAATTTTCATCAGTTTAGTGCAGTCCCACTACATCGTTGTGGTTAGTAGTTAGCGTCTTGAAAGAGGCATTCGCATTATATATAACAATTCTATACTCCTCTAGGAGCCTTCAAACTTAAGCTTGTCTAAAACATCACAAACCAGTGCGATTTTATGCCGCGATTGGCCCTATTTCTTCTTTAAAATAATTTTGCAAAACTACATTGACAATTCGCCACAAAACATAACAGTTGATTTCTCAGGTAGGTCGCAAAATGTCTTCTTTGTATTAGCACTTTTTT